ATATCTCTACCAAACCATACCGACTAGATCTCTACCAAACCACACCGACCATATCTCTACCAAACCATACCGACCATATCTCTACCAAACCATACCGACTAGATCTCTACCAAACCACACCGACCATATCTCTACCAAACCACACCGACCATATCTCTACCAAACCATACCAACCATATCTCTACCAAACAATACCGACCATATCTCTACCAAACCACACCGACCATATCTCTACCAAACCATACCAACCATATCTCTACCAAACCATACCGACCACATCTCTACCAAACCATACCGACTAGATCTCTACCAAACCATACCGACCATATCTCTACCAAACTATACCGACCACATCTCTACCAAACCATACCAACCATATCTCTACCAAACCATACCGACCACATCTCTACCAAACCATACCGACCATATCTCTACCAAACCATACCGACCACATCTCTACCAAACCATACCGACCACATCTCTACCAAACTATACCGACCATATCTCTACCAAACCATACCGACCATATCTCTACCAAACCATACCGACCACATCTCTATCAAACCATACCGACTAGATCTCTACCAAACCACACCGACCATATCTCTACCAAACTACACCGACCATATCTCTATCAAACCATACCGACTAGATCTCTACCAAACCACACCGACCATATCTCTACCAAACTATACCGACCACATCTCTACCAAACCATACCGACCATATCTCTACCAAACCACACCGACCATATCTCTACCAAACCATACCGACCATATCTCTATCAAACCATACCGACCACATCTCTACCAAACCATACCGACCATATCTCTACCAAATCTCTCGTGTATTTAGACTAGAAAACTAAGGCTACTAAAGCTGAGCAATGTCTCACGTGGGTAATGTAATAAAAGCAAGCATCGTTTGAGCCTGACTTTCGTTGTGAAACAGACAGCCAGGTCTGAAAGGGCACCATCGTCCCTGCACTCTCTAACACCGTCAGTTTTGTTTTTATTGCCCGGAGTTTAGAGTGATCTCCCCTGCACGTTGTCGTGACGACATATCCTGTTTAAACCAGTTTAGTCGGGACGTCAGTACCCACAAGACACCGGAAACACGTCACAACTCTAATGGCTGTCTGGACTGATGGTCAACAATTGTCGTCTGATCTGAAAATTTGAAACCTGGAATTCTGGACAAGAGGCTCTCGACCCCCCACCCCCCCACCCCCACTCCCCATCATCCCCCGGTCCTCTCATTCTAGTGGAGATCAAGCGACGTTTGATTGGATGAGGACGATTACGTAATCTCACGCATTTCATTATCTGATCCTCTCGATGAATGATTATATTATACAACAAAACACTCTGCTTTCGTGTTTATAAAATAAAATAGTCTTTTAAATTGTCACAAATATCTTGTAAAATTGAAAATATTGTGTCCGCGTAAATTATGATGTCAACCCGAATTGATATGACACAATGTGTTCAAATTGTGTTCGTGTTGATGTTCCGTCCAACGGAAGAAGATTACAGGGGGTTGCACTTAGATGGGGGGGGGAGCTTAGAATATCTGGGGGGGAGGCTTAGAATATCTGGGGGGGGGGGGGGCTTAGAATATCTGGTAGGGTGTGAAAACTGGTTATAGCGTATATTTTCTATGAAAATGCTATATTATTTTTATCAATTTCGTCTTGGGGTGGGGGGGGGGGGTGGATGTCTCCCCCATACATTCTTCCCCCATCAATTTAAGTGATAGAAGACCACCATTAAAGACAATTCTTCGCGTGGCGCATCCGTCTAGGAAGGCCTTCTTCAGAGCAATGTCAAGGTCGGGGGACTGTGGGAGGCGGGGGTGGGCTGGCGGTTCATGCACTGGTGACGACAGATGATGATTGTCGTCCTGTCGTCAAGCAAGATGACGTCATATCCGGTCCTCGGGTTTATTTCCTCGAGCAGATGCTTATGTCATAGCTGTAGATGATCTTGTTGGATCGATGGCTATTTATAGCTCGTCCCATCGGAGATTTCCGCAAACACGTACCTTGATGCAGCTAATGGTGTATCAACAAACAGAGAGGTTGGAGTTAGGCTTGGGATTTGGTGGTCAGATAGGTCAGGTTTGGGTTGGGATTTCGTTTGGATTATGGTTCGTTTTCATTGAAAACGCTGTGATTTTATCAATAGGCTGAAAGGATTAGGACATTTCAGCTTAAACGAGGGCAGGTTTGGATTAGGATTTTAGTTAGTGATAGAAATCTAAACTATGTGAACGGTAACTTTATAAAAGCAGTTTTATTATTAGACAATGCGTTTTTCGTCGGGTTGTATTAAGTGTGTAACTAGTTTAAGGGTTAAGGTATAGTTCCTTGCTGACTGTATTGGTGTAGGGACTAACCCTTCTGTAAGCATAGTACTCGCACACATTTTACTATTGTGCGGGAGGTGTGAGGGGTGGTGAGGTTGGACCTGGCACCTATGTTAGAACTGCCGAGGCTCAATAGCGAGAACCCACTTGACTGTAACACAATTACGTCATAGTACTCAACGGATTTACTAGCAAAAGGGGGTGGGGGACACGGGGTTATGTCAGTGTGGAGTGGGGGTGGGGAGTAAGGGGTGTAGGTGTATGGTTAGGGGCGTACAGGTTTCGTGTGGTTATAGAAATAGTTGGAAGTTCAAAGGTCATGTGGTTATAAATAGGCTGAAATGTCCACGTGACAACACCAAGTGATTTTACTAATTGTCACGTGATCTTCGTCGCTGGATCACGTGGTTAGTCAACACGTGACGTGAGAGATTGTGACAAACTGCCGGCAATCACTCTCACGTCCTTGTGACAGTATTATGACAACATTGTGACATTTTATTAACAGACTTTTTTTTTAAGTTTTCATTCAATTAAAAGCAACAAATATTTTCCACTAATTAGCCGACGAATCAATCTATTGATGTAACGTCACACAACACTGAGATTAATTAAAGCTTCTGTCTTTGAACTGTTCCTTATCTGTCCTAACCCAGGAATTTTAATTAGGCAATTAGCCTACCAAGTAACGTTCAATTATGTAGTATTAAAGTTATCAGATAGCTTTGAAAAGTACTTCAAACTATAACAAGTCTACTGGATGTTAATGTCCATTTGAATGTGAATAAGATATTGGCAAGTCGAGAATGAGCGTGCACTATAAACATGACAACCTATTTGAACTTCTAAAACGTGTTTTGAAAGAATGACACATCTGATGTGAGAATGTAGTAGATCTATTTGAAATCTCTTTGACTAATTTATTGGTAAGTTTAAACCCACAAATTTATTGGTAAGTTGTAACTGACCAATTTCTCACCAATATAATATTTCCTTACACAGCAACACATAATATACCAAAAAAAAAATGTCTGCCTTAGCTGTGAGCTACTCTGGTCTCAGAAAGACAAATTCCAGACAGACATTTCTAATCCTAGACAGACAAATTTAATGAAACAAAGATTTTTTCCCTTCCTGAAATAATCTGGGCCGGAGTGGAATCAATGCCGGACCGGGGTGGGATCAATGCCGGACCGGATTATCTCCCGTCCGCTATCCGACGGGCCGGCAGATTGAATGGGCGTCACCGTGGGGTAGTTGGATACAATATTTGTTGTACGCCGCCGGTGACACTTAAATAAATACCAAGATAAGAAAAAAGCACGTCCGGACAGACCTGCCTACGTCTGGGGAGTCTGCACAATATTATTTCTTGCTAAATTTGGATTCACTGTTGGGAGAGGTGTCTGTAAGGGTGTTTGGTGGTAGGTAGGGTGTTGGGTGGTAGGTAGGGTGTTGGGTGGTAGGTAGGGTGTTGGGTGGTAGGTAGGGTGTTTGGTGGTAGGTAGGGTGTTGGGTGGTAGGTAGGGTGTTGGGTGGTAGGTAGGGTGTTGGGTGGTAGGTAGGGTGTTGGGTGGTAGGTAGGGTGTTGGGTGGTAGGTAGGGTGTTGGGTGGTAGGTAGGGTGTTGGGTGGTAGGTAGGGTGTTGGGTGGTAGGTAGGGTGTTGGGTGGTAGGTAGGGTGTTGGGTGGTAGGTAGGGTGTTGGGTGGTAGGTAGGGTGTTGGGTGGTAGGTAGGGTGTTGGGTGGTAGGTAGGGTGTTGGGTGGTAGGTAGGGTGTTGGGTGGTAGGTAGGGTGTTTGGTGGTAGGTAGGGTGTTTGGTGGTAGGTAGGGTGTTTGGTGGTAGGTAGGGTGTTTGGTGGTAGGTAGGGTGTTTGGTGGTAGGTAGGGTGTTGGGTGGTAGGTAGGGTGTTGGGTGGTAGGTAGGGTGTTGGGTGGTAGGTAGGGTGTTGGGTGGTAGGTAGGGTGTTGGGTGGTAGGTAGGGTGTTTGGTGGTAGGTAGGGTGTTTGGTGGTAGGTAGGGTGTTGGGTGGTAGGTAGGGTGTTGGGTGGTAGGTAGGGTGTTGGGTGGTAGGTAGGGTGTTGGGTGGTAGGTAGGGTGTTCTGGTCGGTGTGGTAGAATTAAAGGCCGATGGTGTGAATATTGTGAGACCCTGTATAGGTTGGTGGTGGGGGATTCGGCTAAGGGGAGAACGTTCAGAGGTTCGTCGGGGTGGTAGGTTTTTTTTTTATGTTGTTAGCTTAAATGTTTGTAACTGTTGAAACTGAAAACATTGATGAGTATTCTGCAAGCAGTTGTTCAAGAAACGATCTTTTACACACATTTCTATTCCCACAACTGTCGCGCAAGCTGTTGGTGTTTCTCGTGGTTTTGTTGTGTGTTGTTTTGTAATGATGGTGTTTAGTTGTGCTATATATGGGTTGGTGTTACGAAGTGTTTAAAAAATGTTGGTACGATTAGAATATCAAACACCTAAATTTTATATCAATACTTCGATTCTATCGCTGTGTAAGGTGGGTGATGTTGTAGCAGTAAATGTTACAGTTGTAAGTTTTACAGTTGGGATGTTTTTTCGAGGGGTAGTTGAGGTGGACGAACATTCCAGTACGTCACGTGACCCGTGTGTACTCACCCGTGTGTCGTTGTACGCCATCTTGAGTGTGTACTTCCGCCTGAGCCGCGTGTCGTTGTTGATGTGTTGCAGGGCGATGTTGACGGCGGGCAGCACGCCGCGGCCCACCGAGCCCGCTGGGATATCCTCGGACCACGGGAACAGACCGGCAATGTAAATCACCGGCTTGTCGCTTTCAACCTGGCGCCGGATCTCTCCCATCATGCTCTGGTTCCTGGAAGTGACGTCAGCGGTCAGTGCCGGGGGGTCAGGGGTCACAGTGAAGCCATTAACCCCGAGGGTCGGGTCTGACTGTGGAGTAGCGGCCCCTGGTTGATTGATGTCCCCTGGGTCTGGTCGGCTGCCCGGGGCGTAAGCCGGCGCACGGCTGCTCCACCGGCTTCCATCCGGCAGATTTTCCGCTCCGTCACCGCGGAGAACGACCGTGGAATTATCAACAATTTGATGAATAAAGACCGGCTCACCGGTTGGCCTTGACCTTGATGTCTCGGCCGAAGTACCGGTCGCGACGAGAAAAGTGGTATCGTATTCGGTATCGTTGTTTGGTTGAGCCGGCTGGGTCGGCTTCGGTCTCGTCCAATGGGGCTCGTCCTCGTCGATCTTCTGACCTTTGCCCAGCATATTCTGTTCCATCCACTTCTGGTACGCCTCGTCGGTGTCGTCGTCATCGTCGAGGTAGTGGTACTCGTAGTCGACGTTTTTATCGCTCTCGTCTGCGATCCGGTTAGAATCGATATCGTCGGCGTATGAAGGAGCAATAGAAATAAGAACACAGACGATACACAATATATGAGGTATCGATAATCTATTGTGGAATAATTTAAATTTCCGATATTTTGATCTTTTGACATTTTTCACGATTAAAAATGGAATTTTATCCGTAATTATAAACAGGATCCATGGAAATAATAATTCACGTTTTTTAAACAAAATGGCGGTGGGTTTTTTCGAAGAATCGGGAAGTCCCGCGCGTAGCCGTGCGATAGCTGGGGCAGTAGCCGTGAGGGATTCCATTACAGCTGGTGACCCTGACCTTGGGCGGGGCGTGACATCGGTCATCTGGGAGCAGACGACATTTGTCGTGTGGGAACTGTCGCCCACGTGACGCGGGGCGCTGGGTGCAAGCCGTTTGGTCAGTGCTACGGCGTCACAGGGTATCTCTGGGAGGTGTGGACGCTGAGAGGTGTTAGGGTGACGCTGAGAGGTGTGGGGGTGACGCTGAGAGGTGTGGGGGTGACACTGGGAGGTGTGGGGTTGCGCTTCTGCAGGAGGGTGGGGCAGGCGGCAACCTGCAGCATCACTGCCGTCTGCGTATGCGCTTAGCCAATCAAAACCTGACGCGTGGTGTCCGAACTTTCATGCTGAGATTTGGCGGGAAGTTTTCTTCATAGCCGTCACATTTGATGACGTCATGTTACTAGCCATTGGTCTCGGACGTCATATATTTGAAGTCGTTTGTTGGTTGACTGTTACTGTCTGGAGATAAAAAGTTAAAAAAAAATTATTTATTAAAAAGTTTTATTACATATCGTCATACAATTAATGAGGTTAACGACCCCCCCAATCCCACCCCTGTCTAAGTATACCATACAGGTAAAGGTGTTTACCATCCCTACCCACAAGCCTCTCCCACACCATTTAAATCTCGCCAGCAGGTATCCCCACAACCCTCCGCCACACGCCCCAAATCAAACAAATAAAAATGTGATGTGTGATTGACCGTGTTCATATTTCCCAAAACGATCTCTAATTAATTAATTCGTTAGCCGATCACGTGACACGGCTACCGTCCACCTCAACGATCCGTCAAACAGATCGATGGCTCAACAAATCACCGAGTCAATTATTTTAGACTCCGCGTCAGCAGGTGAAATACAGTTTAGAATGCCATCAATCCTCCATCTTAAAACACAGCACTTCCGGTGGAGCGCTACAATCTATCCACTAAGTTCATGGCGGATCATGTCGGTCTGTGACCTCATTTGTTTCAGTCTTTGAAAGTAAGTATTTGCCAATGACCTCCCTTTGCTAATGTTGTTCTAGTATTTTTAAATACTTTACTGTTATAGCGTACATACTACATACAGTTCTCGCTTGAATCCATAAAGTTGATAATTGTTTCGTTATTTATGGAAATATTTGTCAGAAATGACTTAGAATGATAACCTCTACTGAAACTCGGCTAATCGGCCTAGATTTAGAGGTTTGAAATCATAGCTCAGGCTACAAATGCTTCCTCCGATATTTTTCACCGTTTCAGATTTTAAGATTAAGATATAACCTGAAGCTTTAGATGCTATCAGAGTTATCAAAGGGGATGTTTTTATCATAAGGCAAAGAATCAGGTCTTAAAATGTATGTCGGTGATAAATTGTTCAAAAAATAATTAGCCGTTGACATGTTGGGATTTAAGATTATCAAGAGGGTGAGGAGTTGTATGTCTGTAAGTCTGTATGTCAAATGCTGCAAACAGCATTCGAATTTATTAGCATTTTGAATTTAAGTTTAAAATATATTAGATTTAATTATACAATATGGAAGAGAAAATGTGTGTATGACGGTGAACATGATTAGAAAATTAAATGTCTACGTGAATGCCAATTAAGCTTGAATGACATATGTCATGTGGGACCGTTAGAACTCGAGTCACGGGTCACCATGGCTACCCGGGACGTCACTAGGGGGAGCTGTGATTACAGACACTTCAAAGACCGGCTATTATTTAAGGAAAGCCGGAAAATGCCGGGTGTCCGGCGTGTAATGACATTTAGACTCGACAGGTTCTCTTGTCAAACTAAGCTATAACGATCTATTCTCATTAAGTCCACAACACAAGAGATGTTGTCAACGGTAGTAAAAATATTCTATCACAATCATTTTTGTTTGCACTAATTTTTTTGTTTTTAAGATGACAGCAATTAGATAATTAATACGATTAATAAAATAACACATTTTAACAGCAGATTGAAAATAAAACTTGTTGTCTTCTTAATATAAAGAAAACATTTTAATCAGTTTAATTACTAATTAGAAACTGTATTCCCATGATAAAAATTAAATTTAACAAAAATCGCCGTCAGAAAATTCCATTTCATAAAAAAAGGCCTTTGACTATCGTTAAATTCCGACTAGATAATAAAGCGACAAAGCTGTCGGAAATTTCCGAATGACTACGGAATCTATGGGTCGGCATAATCGGGTGGTAGAGCATACAGATTCTAACCCGTAACCTTCGCGTTCACGGGATGTTGGAGTCCACTCAGCTATGAGTGGTACCTGCCTCGCGTTACGGAAAGTAAAGGCGATTAGGCATAGTATGCCACCCCACTATCCCTTCAGGTGAACTCTACTTTATCTGTCACCATTGACTGCCCGATTACATGGGGTAACTTAATATTACAGTATTTAGTACTAACGCGATTTGATTTCTTCATTAGATGAGGGTCGGTATGTAGTACTACCATGATTTCTTCACTAGATGGAAAATATTTCACTGTTAACCCAAAAAAAAGCCGACAGTTTTCTGTCGTTTCATGCATTTAATTTTTAGAGCGATAAAATTAATTTGAAGCAACACAAAAATAAATTAAAAAGCTAAATTGAATTTGGTTCGGAAAAACGTTGAAATATGCAATCTTGCCAAGGAAAATAAAATTGATTCCTAAAAATTAAAAAAAGTAAAATTTTAGTTTTTTTTTTTATTTTTACTCTTCTAAAGATGGCGGCTGGAGACTTTGGAACATTTGGCAGATGTCATAGGGTTTTGGGAAAATTTGGTTTTATTTTTGGCATGGAAGTTGGAACAAAACGGCGCGAAATTTAAAATCATGACAGACATTTCCACACATCAAAGAAATGATCAATATTGTGATCAACTTTATTTGTGATCAACTTTATTTGTATCAACTTTATTTGTGATCAACTTTATTTGTGATCAACTTTATTTGTGATCAACTTTATTTGTGATCAACTTTATTTGTGATCAACTTTATTTGTATCAACTTTATTTGTGATCAACTTTATTTGTGATCAACTTTATTTGTGATCAACTTTATTTGTGATCAACTTTATTTGTGATCAACTTTATTTCTGATCAATTTTATTTCTGATCAATTTTATTTGTGATCAACTTTATTTGTGATCAACTTTATTTGTGATCAACTTTATTTGTGATCAACTTTATTTGTGATCAACTTTATTTGTGATCAACTTTTTTTGTGATCAACTTTATTTCTGATCAATTTTATTTCTGATCAATTTTATTTGTGATCAATTTTATTTGTGATCAATTTTATTTCTGAATAATTTTATTTCTGAATAATTTTAATATTTTTAAAAGTTTATTTGTGAGGAATTTAATCTGTGAAAAGTTTATTTGAAAATGTTTTGTCTAACCTGGTATTTCCCCTGTCAACGAATCTCCCCAATTTTTTTTTGTATTTAGTCAAATTTAGATGTCTGTGTGGTCGGGTCGCTAAACTGAAAAGTCCTGAGTTCGATTCCACAGGAAGACAGAGGCGTAGCGAGGGGGGGGACATATGTCCCCGGGCGCCGAGGGGGGGAGGTGCAAATCGAAAGTTTGAGGGGCGGGGTGCAAATGAAAAGTTCGAGGGGGGGGGGGGTGCAAATCTAAAGTTTGTCCCCGGGCGCCGGGAAGGGTCGCTACGCCTCTGCAGGATGATGAAGTTCGATAGCTGGATACAGCTACCCATCTAGGAGAGACAACTGCCGCCTTGTAGTTTGTCCTTGACTGGACGTATACTGTGTTAGCAAATCTCCCGGCTACAGTATCTGGCACAAATAGAGCCAGACATGTATTATTCATGTAACTGATACTTAAGAAAATACTAGAGCAAGCCTTGATTTACTGTGGGTAGGTTCATGTAATTCACCTGAGACTATCATAGTGTCACTGTCTCTAGACAATTTGTATGTGGCTGCCCAGTGGTCTCTAGACAATTTGTATGTGGCTGTCCACTAGACAATTTGTATGTGGCTACCCAGCTGTCTCTAGACAATTTGTATGTGGCTGCCCAGTGGTCTCTAGACAATTTGTATGTGGCTGTCCACTAGACAATTTGTATGTGGCTACCCAGCTGTCTCTAGACAATTTGTATGTGGCTGCCCAGTGGTCTCTAGACAATTTGTATGTGGCTGCTCACTAGACAATTTGTATATGGCGGTCCAGTGGTCTCTGGACAATGTGTATGTGGCTGCCCAGCGGTCTCTAGACAATTTGTATATGGCGGTCCAGTGGTCTCTGGACAATGTGTATGTGGCTGCCCAGTGGTCTCTAGACAATTTGTATGTGGCTGCCCAGTGGTCTCTAGACAATTTGGCTGGCCAGTGGTCTCTAGACAATTTGTATATGGCTACCCAGTGGTCTCTAGACAATTTGTATGTGGCTGCCCACTAGACAATTTGTATGTGGCTGCCCAGTGGTCTCTAGACTATTTGGCTGGCCAGTGGTCTCTAGACAATTTGTATGTGGCTGCCCAGTGGTCTCTGGACAATGTGTATGTGGCTGCCCAGTCGTCTCTAGACAATTTGTATGTGGCTGCCCAGTGGTCTCTAAACAATTTGTATGTGGCTGCCCAGTGGTCTCTAGACAATTTGGCTGCCCAGTGGTCTCTAGACAATTTGTATGTGGCTGCCCAGTCGTCTCTAGACAATTTGTATGTGGCTGCCCAGTGGTCTCTAAACAATTTGTATGTGGCTACCCAGTGGTCTCTAGACAATTTGTATGTGGCTGCCCAGTGGTCTCTAAACAATTTGTATGTGGCTACCCAGTGGTCTCTAGACAATTTGTATGTGGCTGCCCACTAGACAATTTGTATGTGGATGGCCAGTGGTCTCTAGACAATTTGTATGTGGCTGCCCAGCGGTCTCTAGACAATTTGTATGTGGCTGCCCAGCGGTCTCTGGACAATTTGTATGTGGCTGCCCAGTGGTCTCTGGACAATTTGGCTACCCAGTGGTCTCTAGACAATTTGTATGTGGCTGCCCAGCGGTCTCTAGACAATTTGTATGTGGCTGCCCAGCGGTCTCTGGACAATTTG